TTTAATCATGGATGTCATTGAATGTAATTGTGGGGAAGCTGTTAGTCAAGCACTGTACAAGTATATATCTTGTGTTGTGCATATGGCATGATAAAGTTGAGTCCTTGCATGACTTTCTTATTCTTGCTGCATCTGTTTTAAATAGCCTTAGCTCTTACTACTTTATCTTCTTTCTGTGTCTTCATCAGGTAGCTATTTCGTGCTTATTTTTATGTGTCTCTTGTACCCATTCTGCGTGTGTTTTAGAAATGGTGTGAGTCACTTGCAGAGGAGAGAAAAATCAAAAAGACGGCCATCTCGCAGCTGCTGTTGTCGAGCCTCCTTCTCCTCACCTGGCACATGGCCAGCTTGGCCCAGCACTTCTGCTGCTGTTGGGCAACGAGCATCACGGCCACTGGAGAAGTGGGCAGTGCCAAGAGCCCGCTCATCAGCTCATGGGCACAAAGGAGCAAAAGCAGTGCCAAGAGGCAGCTGATAGAGCCGTCGTTCCGAGCTTGCGAACGGCGTGGGCTCGTGGTGCTCGCAGTGTGTGTCGCCCCTTGCTGCTGTCTGCTCGCTCTCTGCTCCAGTGGTTTGGCACTGGATGGAGGAGCTCTTGGTGCCTCCTCAACAGGGTTAATGTGCTAACAGATTGCAGGCATTTGTTCTGCATGCTAGCAAGGCCTCTCCTCTGCTAAACTCAAGGTCTCTTGCGTGTTCAGCTGGGCGGGCTTGCCAGGGCAGAGGGTAATGCTTACTGACGGAGCAGAGAAAGGAGGAGGAGAAGGAAGGAGACTGGTAGGGGAAGGGACAAAAGGAATAAAGAGGAAATGGAAGAGGAAAGAAAAAACTGGGAATGACACTGTAGGAAATGAGGGTAAGCAAAGGAAGGAGAGAGAAAGGCAAGTGCAAAGGGAGAAGTGCAGAGCCGGAAGAATTTAAAGGAGAGGTGGAAGTGCTGCAAACAGGCATGAGGCAAGAGGGGTTGAGAGAGAGATGCAGTAGGGAAGGGGAGATAGGTCTTGAAGGTGTGAAGAGAGGCAGAGTCCGAGAGGAGAGCAGGAGAGCCAACTACTTTGCAGGGCGGGTCTGTGGAGCGAGGGCCTTGCTGGTTTTGACGAATAAAGCACACAGGGCAAAGCCTGTGTGTCTCCTCACACCACCTCTTCCCTCTTTTCACTCTCTGCTGCCCCCTTTGCTGCTTGCAATGGCTGTTCCCTTCCCCGGGGTTCAGAACCTCAAGCTGCACCAGGCCCTGCCAATTACTGCTGTCCCTGATGAGTTTTGTGGGCCCCTCTGTGGGCTGGAAGCCATCCTTGGCCTAGGGTGGGATACACATGGCCTCCGAACAGGGCTTTAGTTCCTTTCCATCTTCACTGAGATATCCCCTGCTAGCCACCCCTGTTCCTGCCCATCCTCAAGGATGAATCCTGCCACGCAGCCGATGGTTCTGCCCCATTTCCCACTGTGACAGCGTTCCCACCATATGTCAGCCTTGAGCAGGGATGGCTGATGTGTCTATCTTCTTTCCTCCAAAAGTTTCTCACAGAAAGTTTTGCAAAAGAAAATCACTACCGAGGGAAGAAGAATTACTGAATAAATTCAATTATCTTGACAGCTCAGTGCTCAAATTCCTTCACAGATCAGGAGTTTCTCTCTGATTTAGTGTAGTTCCAGTTTCCTAACCTGTCCCTGCACTCACCCACCCAAAACAGAGGCCACATAATACTTCAGCAGTACCAGACACGAGCTGCCATCTCCATAGGGAAAGGTGCACCCCCCAATACCTTGTCAAGGTGAGGGGAAAGGACAACTCGCATTCAACACTGCGTTTTTGGGTTTTTTCCACATTTTAAGCTGTGTCTGACTACCTCTGGGGCTTAAAGGTCTTCATAAACAAAAATATATAAAGCAGTCAAGAAAGAGGGAAGTATTAGAGAAGCTAGATCAGAATATGGAGGACACTGTTACTCACTGCAGTGAGCCACCGTGGAGCAAGGACTAGGAGACTGTAAAGGTCATGAGATTTAACAAGGAGTAATCATTTTGGACTACAGCCAAGTCCCTGAGGGATCTCATTTTTGTTAGGGCAAGGAGGCAATATTTGGATTAATCTGTTCTGCATATACATATTTTTTTTCATTGTTTACAATTGCTAGAGTTTCATGTTATCCTTGTCACTACCAGCTTATTTTCATATGGATATACTACCCTTGTGCAAAGAAAAGCATCAGAACTATCCTAGGAATGAACAGGTAAGGATGAGCGGCCTTAACACAAAATTGCAGTGGAATTGTTTTGGAGTTGTTCTGGATATTATACATATGACTTCAACAAGCGTAATTAAGCTGAAGGGTTTTAAGTATCTTGGATATGTCCCTGCTACTACAGCCAAGACCATGAGGTCTTAGGGAAAAACATAGGCAGAATGGGCATGTTAAATGAGCCAAAGCCCTGGGGCCTGCTAAGGCTGAGCTCATTTTTGTTAGAAGTTACTCTCTGAAAAATTTAGCAGTTGCCCTTTCCTGACCCATCCTTGGGAACAGCCTGCTGTTTTCACTGGCAGTGCCATTGACTGTTCTGAGGGTTTTCTAGCTGAACTGGAATATATCATGGCAAATCCACAGCCCCGAAGGGCTCCAGGATGCTGACTTTCCGGCTGCTTGGAATTACATAGTTGCAGCTACGGTACCGTTCTGATTGCCTTGCTCTAAAACCATCAGCTCTTGCTGCTGAGAACACTGTTACTTTTCTAATAACACAGAGACTGTGGCACATAGATGACAAGCTCATTCCTTCTAGTAGAGAGCAGCAGCATGTACCTGGTTAAGGATTATCCCGCTTTAATAAGGACTACATGGTTGTAGCCACAAGAGGATAAGAAAGGAAAAGGCTGGTAAATGCAGGTTCTATCTTTAAACAACTTTTACATGACCATGTTTAATGGAAGACAGATTTCATCTTGATGCTAGCCCTTTGCTGCTCCAATGCGCTCAATTGCTGTGAGGGTCATGGTGTTCTTTGGGACCTTCCATTTGGTCACTTGTTGTTGAGCAAAGACCACTTTCTGAAATCAGATACACCTGCATATACATCCCCCTATAAAGAACTGCAGGGTAGAGACTCCTTGAGCCATGCCTCTGCCTCTTTGCTGTGAAAAGGTGTTAGCTCAACTCCTGGAAACAGTGTTTGTGTATGAGCGTAAGTCAAACCTTCCCGCAAAACCAAATTCTGGAGCAGTATCACTCTGATGAGGTAGTCTTGCTTTGTGCTTCTGCAGTGAGGCTGATGAGTGCTCGTGCAAAGGCCCAGTGCTCCCTGCACCGTGCACTCATGTCCTTTGTGATGCCCTTTAGTTGTGCCTGTGTGTTGTGCAGCACTGCATATTCCTCCTTCTTTTATAGTCACTTTCCTATTGCAGCTGATCAAATCCCAAGCCCCTGTTTATCACGAATACTTTCTATAGGTTATATATGTATTGTTACTACGTTTGGCTTTTATTTTCAGTTGCATCTTTTTTTTTCCCAATATGAATATTTTGATTATCTGCATGAAATCCCTCCTCTCTCTCTCGCTCTGTCTGCATTCAGTGTATGTAGAACTGACAGTTCCAGGGAGGTAAATGACTGCCACTGCATTTCAGGGAAAGAATTATTTCATGCAATTACCCTAAAAGTGTATGAAAGAACAGAGTGAAAGGAATGAGAGAGAGAAAGAAAGAGAGCATGAGAGAATAATCACAACACTTCGACAGGTTTACGCTATTGTGTTTGAAAATCTATCAGTCTGACAAGTCCCTTTTGCAAAAGGTGTTGACAGGTAACTAGACACTCTTCATTGTCCTTTTGAATGAAGAGGGCCATCAGAACAAAGATCAGTCCATTGGTGCAGTGTCTGTAAAAGGTATAGGAGTTGGAGTATGTGGAAAGACTGGGAGAAAGCAATTTTGTGTTAGATTAGACAGGAAGGTCAGTGCTTGTGAGAGAAGGGGAACGGACAGCCCCAGACACAGAGCCACATCCATGTAAGCTGAGTTCCACTCAAGTCCTATTCCCGACATTGCTTATGGACTGGCCCTGCTCCTGTTTCCCACTCAACATCTCGCTTAGGTCCTCCCATTTTCCCTTCAGTGGTGCCTGGGCAGAAGGATTAGACTGTTAGACTACTGACTTGCAGATCTTTCTATGTGTATTGCTTTTGGTTTGGGAAAGGGTGCAGTAGTACAAGGCTGTGTCGCCTGACCCCTCCGTCTCTTGCACACCATGAAAGGCCAAGAGAGCTTTCAGTAGCTCTGTTATTCATACCTGGGAAAAGATTCAAGAGAGACAGTGTCTGTTTCTGACTCTGCTGCTGTTGCATCTGACAACTTTGTCATCCTTTTGATCCCTTCTGCCCATCAGGTTCCCACCAAGGGGAGCTGATGACCACACACCATGTCTTCCTTGACATGTTGTGGATCTGTGTTCACTGTAGTGTGCAAAATGTGAGACACTCAGGTGGAAGTTACTGGCCAGGATAAACAGTTAGAATCCAGCTTCTCCCAAAGGTTTCCATGAGGTAGGCAAAATTCTTGAATGTTTGCCTCACTGAGTGAGGAGAGCATTGGACAAAGGGATACTGTGGCAGGTCACTACTTTACCTGCGCCTGCCTCTCTGCAATTTCATTACTTATAGCTACTTGCATCTAAAGGTTATTTGGGGAGCATGCTGTTGGGTTAAAAAAGAAAAAAATATATATTTCCCCCTTTAGGTTGGTGTCCAAAAGGAGTGATTCACAGTTATGGGAGAAGCTTTCCCATCTAGCTGAGGCAGCTGAAGAAGTTACTGATTTAAGCAAACAATTTATTTCTACACGAAATAAAACAGGTTAACCTAAGCCACCTTCAGGGATCTCATCCTGCGCTGTGGGTACACCTACAGCACAGGGACCATCCTGCTGGGCTGCAGTCCTGTGCTGCAGACCATCTATCTCAAGTCAGATTTTGGATTGCTTTAAACTCTTTATCTCCTTCCTTCTGCAGTATGGTGGAGTATTCCCTGGATCTCCAGAATATCAACTTGTCTGCAATTCGTACTGTCCGTGTCCTGAGACCCCTGAAAGCTATCAACCGTGTACCCAGTAAGTTATGCTTCTCTCTCACACAGTGTCTGGGTCATGCTGGGGGGTTGGGGCTATTTTCTACCCCCATTTGTTCTGTACTGGTGGCCACAGGGTCGGCCACCTTGCACTTCCACAGCCTTCACTTCCTCCTTTGCCAGGGGGTGGGAGCAAGACCGGCTCTCTACTGAGCTTTGCAGCTTTACCAGTACTGAACTTCTTTTCTTTCCTCTTCTTCCCTTCAGCTGCCTCTTGTCTTTCACAAGTCTGTACTGCTAGTCCTGTGACCCTAGAGCAAGTAAACAAGCTTTGCTGTTGTTATTCAACTGCAGGAAATATCAATAGGGATGGCTCAGGCTTCGTGGTGTTTGTAACTAGGCAGATGGAATTGGACCGGTGGGCAAGCTTCATGCTGTTGATGTCTGGATAGCTGCAAGAGCAGTGAACTTGGTCTGCAGTGTCAGTCTGATGTTTCTGGCTATTCCCCGTTCAAAGACGGCCACCACCACATGCAGTCTTGTAAGACTTTCAGTGTTTCTTTTGTAAGTTTTTCTTTCTCCCAGAACAGCAGGAAGTCTCTCTGCTCTTCCTCATAATCTCCCTAATCAGACTGTCTGCAGTGGCTAAGACCTTGTTAGAGCTCTCCTAATCCTTCTCTTAAGCTCAGATGTTCCCTTTTCTGAAAAGGTTTGCACAGTCAGCCTCCCAGTCTACACCATATGCTTTTTGTTGCACCAAAGTCACTTGCATGATACCGCCCATTTCTTGAACATACTATGGAGGCAGATTGTAGGATCCATGGTGCCACGCAGGGCAAAGCCCTTCTGGGTCTTGTCCCTCTTCCTGGATGTATTTTTGTCTCTCTGGGCAGTATCCAGGGGTAGAGGATGCTGAAGGTATGAACAGGGTGTTGAGGCATAGTCATGTGTGCCCAGTGTGGCAGGAAGGGGCCAGGCAGAGAAACAGCTGGTTTGGGGCTGGCTGTGTATCCAGCCCTCTAGCAGGTCTGTTGTGGAGGTAATAAACACAGCAGCCTGGGATGGCTTTTTGCCTTTTGGCTATTGGCAGAACAACTGCCCCCGATCATGACTTGCTCTCTGCCCCTTCTCTCTGCCCCTGTGGAGGAAGGCAGCTGGAAGCAAGCCATGGGCTTTGCTGTGGACACACAGCCATGACTGGGGGCCACCTTGTCTGAAAGCTGTCTGTGAGATGAGGGGGATGTCCCTGAGCCCATGCACAGTCAGCTTGCCACTTTTCAAAAGTGTCCAAGCAGCTGCATATGGGAAGAACAGTTCTTCTGGGATGGGAGCTGGGCAAGGGGAGGGGAAAGGGCTGGGGCATGCAGCCGTGGCAGAAAGTTACACAACCCGCTTTCCTCTCCGCTTCATAAGGTCTCCCTTGAGTCTGTGCTCAAAGTCCACTCCAAAGTTGACCTCTATTATCATTACAGACTTAGCCTTTGTGATGAGCGGGAATATCTTGAGTGATATCCAAATTACTCCTGCAAACATCTGCCAAAGACATGTTAATTACAGGACACCAGCAGTCAGGAGTGAAGCCTGACTGACAAAAAAGTCAAGGCCTTGTTTCATTCTTATTTATAGCTGGGAACAGTAGGAGTCACTTCACTATTCACAGAAATTACCCTTGGGGAGGAGTGGTGTAAGTGAGATGAGCATTGCCCTGCTAGAGAGTTTCTCTGTAGATGCTCAGGCTCCCAGGAAGCTTTCAATCACCAACCTTCACCTCTGCATAGCAAAACCTATTGAATTTCACCTGATTGCCCTTGCCCATGAAGCTGTCCTTTTGCCAATATAAAACTCCATCTGTATGAAACAGATGCTGTTTTAATTTCTACTCTGTGGTTAAACCTTTGCCTGTCTTTCTTGCTTCGTACATCTGTGGTTGTAGGCAGAGAACTTTTTGGTAGAGAGGTGTCCTGTTATTAATGGGGGAAAAAAATCAGATTCCCTGGGAGAGGAAGCACTGACTTGTGGGTTGGAATCTGGCTAAGAAGCTGTAAACAAAGACTCATGATAAATGGGAATGTGCTGCGTTGAAGGAAGGTGCTTAGTGGGGTACAGCAAACACAATTAATAGGACCTTTGGCCGCAAATCTTTTTTAAATGTCTTTCTAAGTTCTTCATTATTTAACTGAAGCAAGAGCAAAGTCTATTGAGATTTGCAGATGATACCGAAATGGAGGAGTTGCAGGTGCTAGCAAAGAGAGAGGGGAATAACACAACAGGAGGTAGAGGTAAATAAAGGCATTGGTCGAAGTCTGGGATATCTGGTGAGGGACAGAGGTGCTAATCCTAAACCAAGATATTCAGTGGAGGGGACGGATCATGCAACAAACTCCACTGACAAGGGACAAGATGGCCCAGCATTTACTACTAGCCATTTCAAATGCTTTCACTCTGGCATGTGGATGAGGACCAATTTTACAGAAGGATTTAACGAGGTAGAATGCATTTTTCCAAAAATCAAGACATTTCTGGGAGCTGAGTTCCTCAAAAATCTACAGGCCAGTTACAGATTCTGAATAATCCCTGGTTAATAAGGTGAATGAGAGCAAAAAGCAGGAAAGAGTTTGCAATTTAGTATAGCAGCCTTGGGGTTTGCATAAAATGGCAACCGTGATTCAGGATGGCAGTGAATGTGGTTTACAAGACCATTATCTAGACTAGTGCACTCGGATAACGGCAGTTTATTATCAGCAGAGTAAACAACACGATTAGGAAGCTGCATGATTGTTGTATGGGAAGACTATTAAAAAAAGTGAAGTCTGGCTGGCTAGGTTATAATAGTCCAATAATCCACAAGGGTTTGAAAGGTGCACATACTAGAGGCAGAAATTTGTAGAGAAATTTGGTAGGCAAAAAAGAAGTAACACCAGGAAATTAGGATGGAGGTTATTTAGAATGACTCTGAGGAAACAGTGCAGAGGGAAAAAAAAATCTCACCTATTAGATAAATGGGGGGAAAGAAAGAACAAACTCACTTATTTTATATTCAGGACAGGAGAGCAAGCTGAATGCTAAATGCCCAAATTGGATATGTCTAAATTCTGCTTACCTGTATTCATTGCTAATATGTTACTGAAAGCTCTTCCTTACCATGAGACCTGTAAGACTTCGAAATAATATATCTCAAGGAGTTGACAAACATTATTTATATGTGCATTAATCACTATGTGGAGAGCAAAGGCTGCATAGACTTTTCTACCTGAGTCATGACAGAAGGAGAGAAGAACAGTAAATCCAAAATGTGGTGAATGTAAAATCCACTGAGTAAAGCGCTCCTAGATTGTGGGACTCTGCTATGGGAAGTCCGTTCAGCCCCAAACCAAGAGGCCTAGTAAATAAAGTAACAGTAAATAAAACAGTATTGTCTAAAGGGATCAGAGGATACACGGAGACACTAGGTTTCAAACCTCGATGTTTCAGGGTTAGAGCTACCTGTTAGCAGCACTTAATTGCATTTCTTGCAAGTCTCAGAAGCATTTTCTATTGGCAATTTCAGATAGCGCTTCTAAATGAAGTAGCCTGAGCCTCTGACCTGTTTCATCATTCCTGTATTCACGTGCAATTTTTAAAGTGTACTAGAGAAAAAAGGAGGAGCCCTATTTTTGTAATATTTATTACCTCTGCATTAGTATTCTTGCTTGTCTCTTGCATTCCTGACTATAGCCCCAGGAGCGCTGCCCTTCGGGGTTTTGTTTGGAAACGCGTGAAAGAAAATTGTAGACTGTTCTGGTACTACTGCCATGTGACTTGCATAGTACTGGGTTGGTGTGACAAACCAAGTGAGTTGCCAAACAAGTGTAAAGAGGGAAAATTCCCTTCAGATCTCTGTCAAAGGTAGCTACTCTCTGCTGTGGGCATGTCTGTGCCCTGGGCTTGCAATGAAATTCTGCATCCGTTTGTAGTTATTGTCCTTTCACAATTGTGTGGCAGGTTGCTAGGTGAAATGTTGTTATTTCTGTCAGCTTTTTCATCAGTTCTTCTCATGGCAATACACAAGGTTTAGGGCAGGGATGGAGGACTAATGTTTTATTTTTTCCTGCTTTTTTAACGGAGAGTCTGCAGTCATTTCTGGTAGTTTGAATTTCTTTCTCACATTATTAGATTTTTGACATTGGAGCAGAAAACGTTTCTTCAATTTACTCTTTCTCGTTGCATTGGTCTCATGCAAAGAAGAGTCTTTGCATTGTGCTTGATGCCTTCCAGTTTCCACTTACAATTTGGTAACCGATTCATTATTTGGAAGCAGATTACTTCAGCTGAGCACACTGTACGGAAGTGAAGGAGTCTGTTGTGGAGTGTTGCATAGCAACTTTATTGAATAGCAAGTGTATACACTTACTAATATTTGGTGTATAAATGCAGTAATATGTATGTGGATGTATAGACTTCAGAAATAATTTCTAGCTGTGAAGGAAATGGAATTTCAGATTTGCGGGGATTTCTTTTCTTTCTAAATTTGTTTTATTCTCTGTCAGAACAAGAATGAACATCTCCCATTTTTAATGCAGCTTGATCCTATATAATTAAAGCAGTTTTGTTTAACTTTTTGATATGTTTTCTATATTTTGTCATAAAGCATAAAGATGCTTTAGAATGAAAAAAATCACCCTCCCTTTCTATAAAGGTTGAAACAGATCATTTCTACTTTATCAGAATGCTTTCCCCTCTTATAATCCTTATTTTTTCATAAATGAAGTTTCAGCATCTATGACAGTATCTATGTCGACGTTTTTCCGTTTCAATGAAATATCATTTTTGACTGGTAAAAATATTGTGATGAAAATCTTGGATTAGCCCAGTTTTTCTTGTATTATTAATAATTATTATTATAGTAGTGCCTTTGGTCAGAAAACAACAGCAACAACAAAAAACAGATTTCTGTCTTTTTCTTCTACAGATCTCAGAAACACAAACCAAAGCTTGTTAGTTTAATCATCTTCATGTTTCTAACAGGGTGAGTGAGACACAGTGAGTCACCACCAGAATCAAGAA